ATTAAAAAAAAGCAAATCTTTGTTAAATGTTTATTTATTTCTTCATAAAATTAATAAAAAATAATTCTATTCTGATGATTTCGTCTAATTCTTGATGTCATATAATCACACTTTTTACTGTCTTCGTAAATATTCAATTGCAATTGTTTGCAGTTACAGGTGCAGATACAAACTGTTAGAGTGCAATATTATTTAATGTTTATGGCATTATTTATATTTACATGCAGTTAACGATTATTGGTTTGACAAAAAGACAATTTCTCTGCTTGGAAAAGTCTAAGAGTAAGGAGCCGAGATGGAGAGTGTTATAAGGAAGGAATAAGAGAGAACGTAATTGAGAAAAGACATGTGGAGTGGAAGATAAGAAATGGTAAGAAGATTAAAGGAGGGTATGATAGAGAAAGAAGAGAAAAGAGAGAAGAAAAGAAGGAAGATATAAAGAAGAGAAAGGATGTTGGTTAGAAGAAAAGGAAAGGAAAACGATGAAGTAAAAAAGAGAAAGGAAAAGATAGTAAATGAAAGTGGTGAAAAAGGAGGGTAAGTAAGAGAGGCAGAGAGAGAGAGAGAGAGGGAGAGAAGAGAAAGGAAAGAGAAAGGAAAGGAAAGGAGAGCAAAAGAATGGAGAACGAAAGGTAAGAGATTGAAGGGGGAAAAGCAAGAGAAATAAGAAATGAGAATTATATTTCTCCCATTTTATGCTTTATTGTTCTCTTTCTTTGACAGGATATAAGACGGCCTTTTTAATAGTATGTAACCTGTCGTTGCTTAAGGCCGCTAGTTATCTCATGCGTTGTTTTCTCTTGTTCCTCTGTTCGACCTGTGAATATCAGATTCTCCAGGCCCTCTCAGGAACTTCAGCTGCTTTTACCTGATGTTAAGTATGTCGCCTCCTTGTTTGCATCCTCTCTAAGACCTCATCGTTTCTCATACGCTCGGTCCATGATATCCTCAGCATCCTTCTGTAGAACCACATCTCCGTCACATCGAGTCTCTTCTTCATCTTTGAGGAAATCGTCCAACATTCGCTACCGTAAAGAAGGACAGATGTCACGTAACATCTGAGTATTCGTTATCAAAGAAATCCTCCTGATTCGCAATTTTCTGCCCAGCTTTTGGAATGCGTCCTTGGTCATCCAAATACGCCTACGGATCTCAGTGTTGGATTTACGGTACTCTGTCAGAACGATTCCCAGATATTTAAACTGCCGAGTCTGCTTGATTCTAGTGTTCCCGACCTGCAAATCGCATTTCGGGCTTATCCTTATACTGATAAGCATATATTCTGTTTTCTTGTAGTTTAGTCTTAGTCCCTTCTTCACAATCTGCCTCCATGCTGGATAATACCAAGGCTCTATGCAAATAACAGGAAGTCATCATTATCATGGGAGATCTAACCGCCAAAGTTGGCAGGAAAAAGGCAGGGGATATAGCAAGAAGATTTGGACTAGGAACCTGCAACGAACGCGGAGAAAAATGGATTCAATGATGCACTGCCAATGGCCAGGTTATAGCCAACACATGTTTCCAAGAACATCCGAGACGACTATAGACATGGAGGAGTCCAGGAGGAGAAACTAAAAACCAAATTGATTATATAATCATCAAAAATAGATTCAGGAACGCAATGATTCACTGAAAAACCTACCCAAGTGCCGACTCTTATATGTAAACTAAGAGTGAGACTGTGGAAATTGAAGAAGCCTAACGTCCCGAAAGGACAGGACACACAGAAAAAAGAACCTTTCGTTGTTGATGGTATATAACAATTCCTTTTAGCGACATATAACTCCCGTTTTTAATTGCATGTAGCCTATTTTGCGGCTTATGACCTCTTTGGTAGCATATAACCCTAGTTTTTATGACATATGACACTACCTATTTCATTGGATACGGCGCAGCTTTTTTTAAAAGTATATAATGCCTTTTTATGGTAAATAATCTCCCATTTGATGACATATAAGATTCATTTTCAATGGTATACAAGATTCTTTTTCAATGTTATAAAAGATTCCTTTTAAATGGTATGTAACCTCTCCTTTTTGATGATGTATAAGCTCCCTTTATTCCAAATAACTCAGAGAGCCTTTATCTATAAATTTGTAGTAATTGCGGCTTTTAGATGCGGCTAATTTTTACCCAAACATCATAAATTCTCGGTGTTTATATTTAACTCCAACATTCTGTAAAATATAAATGCAAAAGAGTTTGATGCTACACCATTAAATAGTTAAAAATATTCGAGATAAAAACAACTTCATTCCCAGCTTCAACCTTTTACAACTTTACAACCTCTGATCGTGAAACCACAAACTTACTGCTCCCACTGCTCTTAAAGGGAGATAATTAGGATCAATCCCTGATGCCTGATGGAGGCTGAGTCACTTTTGCCTCTCCGCCCATGTACGTGTGATAGCCGCATAAAACTAACCCTGTATCAAAATTGTTCTTGTTCGGAAGCAGATAAATAGTTCTATTTAATTGTTTATCTGAATACAGCATTCAGCGTCTGGGGAACGCGTGTTTTAAAGAATGCATTTATTTCAACAGCAGTGCCAACTTATTCAGCTATTTATGTATGCAAGATGTTCGCCTACGCACGCGCGTACATAGATATATATGCATGAAGAATGGCTCTTGTCCTTCTAAATTTATGGCCGTCGAAATTTGATTATCATTAAAAAGAATGAAAAAAATGAAAAAGCAGCCATATTGATGAACTCATCTTAAACATATTCGGAACAATTGTTTTAGACGCTACATTTTCTCCTTTTTTCTCCGTGGATTTTACATCATTCTTTTAATTTTACGATAACGATCAAAAGTAGTTTTTAAAACGCAACACATACATGGATATGTATATTAGTACATTTCAAATACTCGGTTTGATTAAATGTTCGAAGTATTTTTCAATAGGTGGCATTAAAACAATTGATTTCGTTTCGCACGTGACGGAAATTTGTTAAATATATTCATATTCAACACGCATTTCTATACGATTCGTGTTTGGATTGGGAATTTTAAAAGAGAAAATCGGGGTAGGAAATAAGATGCATTTTAGCCATTTTATGTTCTTTTATTTCTGGAAAGGAAAAAAATGGCGTGCATCTTCTGGAAATGGCGCCACAGCTGAGAGCATGTCAGTAAGAGATTCAGTGGATTCATAAGTAGAAATTTAGATCTGGAAAACCGAAAACGTTCAAGCAGGGGCCCACACACGTAATGATTCCTAAATTGAAACTTTGGTTACAAGTAATCCAAGTCACACAACACAGGGCATTGCAGAAATACTCCACAAGTCTCACAAATGTTGCAAGCCATTTGAAAACGTTTGGCTAAGTCAATCATTATGATGTATGAGTGCTTCATGATTTAACAGAAAAAAAAAAAATTATGGTCGACATTTTAATCTGGGATTATCGCCTCAAACGCAACAAAAATGGCCCTTTACAAAAAACAAAACAAAAAACAGAACAACGATAACGTGCGATTAAAAATGGATTGCTTGTGACAATATGGATCGAAAAATGTCCTGAGAAAATGAAACTAGCTACAGATAGGCACACGGACATCTGGTATTCATCCGAGGTGTGATTGACAGTGCCTTGGGTATTAGAAGCTCCTTACACAAAATCATAAGTTGAATTCAGACAAGTAGAGTTCTCTTTTGAACTGATTAAAGACAGTAATCGATAAAAATCGTCCGGAACTGACCAATCGGAAGGACGTGGTCTCCATTTCCAACGAGACAACGCTTGACACCATTTCTTTCTGCAGACAAAGTAGAAATTGGTAGAAATTGACTGCAATTTCGTACTACATTCGCCCTACTCACCAAACCTTGCACCTTCGAATTGGCAAATATTTTACCATATTTTACTAAATTCTCTTGTGAGATTTCAAATTCTCTAGAAATCTGTAAAAGCACTTCGACCAAGGTCTAATAAGATAGAATCCTGAAGCTACCTTAAAGATGGTAAAAGTTTTCGAAATAGAAGGGCGCATATGTGATTGAATAAATCTATATACCAATATCTAAATAGAGTCTTTAAAATTTAGAAATGTTACGAACTTTTATTCCGATCCGTTATTAAAATTGCTGCTGTCTGACAATTGTTACATTTAGTGAAAAAAATCTGTGTACAAGTGAATGAAATATAGGGCTGAGGTAAGAATTAATGAATGCATCTTTATATATAAATCAGTCAAACATTTACGTTGTTTTTTTGTGGTCCGTAAACATGGAGAATGAGTTTTTAATTCATCATTGCTCTTTGCTATTTTAGAAATTAAATTCACTGTTTTGGGTGTCTATTTCTTTCGAAGATGGGAACAAAATTTTTAATTTATATTCCAAATTGACTGCTTTTATCAGATTTTTATTTGACCTTGTGCCAGATTTATTTAAACTTTGTAAACATCTTAGTCATGATTTTCTCATATTATATATTTGTTCATCCGTGTAACTTTATCCATTTTGTGTGTCTCTACATCGTCTGCAGAATTGGAAATCGATCTCTGTAAATTTATTGTACGACCATATTGCAGTAAAACATCATTTGTTGACTTCCTTTGGTTGATGTCCAAGATTGATCAGTATGTAATAATTTTACGGCGATTGTAAATGTAACTCATTAACGAAGAACTAAAAATTCGTGTGAGTCAACGGCAAAGTTCATTTTTATAAAACTGTCACAGAAAAACGCACCCTGTTTTTCTTCTTCTTACATTCTTTTCTTTAATATCTGTTTGTTTTTTTCTTTGTTAATTCAATCATCAGTTCAGTCTTGATATCGATTTCTGTTTAACTCTCTTCGCTTATTAGGCCAGATCATAGCCTTACTCACTCTTCTATTTAAATCATTGTCTCTTCCTCATCTCATTTCATCTCTTTCTCTATCTCCCTCTTTTTGCTTCTCGGTATCTATTTATCTTTTTTCTCTCTCTCTTCCCCCCCCTCTATCTCTCGATTTCTGTCTAACTCTCTTCGCTGACTGAGCCAGATGAGTACTTAACTCACTTTTCTATTCAATTCATTCTCATCAACTTTCTTCTATCTCTCTTTCTTTCTTTCTCTCTCTCTCTCTCTCTCTCTCTCTCTCTCTCTCTCTCTCAATACCGACTTCTATTTAACTCTCTTCGTTTATTGGGCTACATTATAGCCTTACTCATCCTTCTACCGAAATCACAGTCTCTCTTCCTTATTATCTTTCTTTTTGTTCTCTCTTTCTCGGTCTCTCTCTCTCTCTCTCTCTCTCTCTCTCTCTCTCTCTCTTTCTCTTGATATCGATTTCTACCTGTCTTCTTCCATTAGGTTATATCATAGCCTTACTCACTCTTCTACCCAAATTCTTCTCTCTCTCTCTTGTTTATCCTCTTTCTTCTCTCAATCCTTCTCAGTCTCTCTCTCTCTCTCTTTTCATTTCCAACTCTTCTGCTGCCAAATGATGAGAGCGGAGAATGATTTAGAGCTCAATGGAGAACAATGTCGTTAAAGTTGTTTCTATCCCGGGAATAATTTCAAATAAATGTCATTCACAATTCTCATATAAAACACATACGCGTCTCTACACATTCACAAAAACGTATTTTTTCGTTCAGCCTGTTTATTCTCGAAAGTCAGATTGAAAACTACACTAAATATATATATATATTTCTTTTGTATTTTCTTTGTTTTCTCCTTTCTGTAATCGTTCAAAGTTATTAATAATCATGGAATTCTGCTGATTCTCCACTCTGCCTTATCCCCAATCCCATCGGTGGATGAAGAGGCGATAGATGGCAAGAGACCGAAAACTCAACATTGAGGAATTGCAGACTTGCCGTAGTGCCACTGAGAAAGAAAACTTAATTGCGATAACGAGGTGAACGATTGTGTCGGCTAAATCAAGCGGACATCCTGTGGAAGGCTGGTTCTTTTCATCGATTCCACATTGCTCTCGGCACGAACCAAACCAATTGATATGACACAAGATACACACCTGGTTATGGGATTTGGACGTCAGCTTCGACGTCGTCTTCATCGTCGCTGTCGCTCTCGTCTTCATTGCAATCAAGAGTAATGCAGTTGAACTTTCTTGGGTTTCCAAATCACATCGAATTCGTTCTGAATTACCACGGCGAATCCATGAAGACAAATTGACAGCTTTATGGGTCACTGGCGCGCCCTTTTGTATGCGAGAATGTTTGTTTCATGCCTGATAAGATCAAGCTTCGTCCGATCTCTGGTCGTTTAATCTGAACATTTGAAATTCTTATCAAGTGTTTCTTTCTACGTGTTGAGCTCTCAATCGATAAAATTATTAAGCAATGCTTTAAACATCATCGTGTTTATATCGATTGCTTTCTCTTCCTCGTTCGCTGTTTTATTATCATTACCATAGCAACTTCCCCAGTTCTTTGGGTTTTATAAATAAATAATCTGAAATCCCATGGCGCACTGTGGTTCAATATTTATTTTATGAACTTTCATTGACCTTCTGGTTCGTCTTCATCTTAACAATATTTATTATCGCTTATTTTTTCAGTTTTCTTCCATTTTTAAAAGATTAATCATACCATAGATATTTTGTTATCTATTTTAGACTATTCATCGACATGTTTTGTTTTTAGGTATTTATTCCGCTTAAGTATGGAACATGGCCACAAGTGTGGAGCACTATGGATGTCCGTGTTCATTTCCATAGTAACTGCCTGCGAGGCTAAATTGTTAAAAAATATTTCATAATAGATGATTATTTTGTTGTTTTTATTTTTATTGGCGGTCATCTTCAAATGGCTTGAGTGAAAGTTACACGAGTAAATTTTGAACCCTTTTATGTTTTGGATATTAGCTTTTATAAAAATGTTTTTCTTGCAACCACAGGTATATTTGAAGTGATTGCAGTCGATTATTTTCACACGATATTTGCTTAGGCTCAGCTGGAGGAATTTCTTCTGCAAGGAATTGTTTTTGCACCCCGTGAAGGTGTAAATATTGTCGACTATGTAATACCAATTGCGGATGTAATTCAAAAAGTCTAGCAAGCCCATCGTAACAATTAGTTTTTCCCTAGAAAATATTCCGACGAATTATATTCCTGAGTTCCAACAGTGCAAAATTTCACAGCTCGGACCCGCCATGACATGTATACGGCGTCAACTCACCCTCATTCTTCTTCGTATTCCATTGGTAAGGAAGAGTTTCCGATGAGACAAATTCTTCCGAAGAACCGCTACTTTTTGAAACAGACTCACATGATTATGATTTCCCGATCAATAAAATCAATAAGATCAATATGATCATAACCACTTCAATCTCGGTTTAACAGCAATCTATCCTACATATTCTCAGAATCGACACTTACTCCCTCCTCAGACATGCCCAAAACAACCTCATTTAATAACTCTTTGAGTTGACCTTGGGCCTTTTATTGGAGGAACATTTAGTAAAAATCGACACACATATTTTTAGGAATGGATATTTTGTTTATTTATTTGACATATTTTAATTTATTGCTTAAATGTTATTTTTAAATGGCTACTTATATTTGAGTAGATGCTCTGTTTTTAATTATTTATTAAACAGTATATTTATTTATTTACATGTAACAGCCTGAATATTCGATAAGTCTTAGATAAATATGCGTACTCAGGCTGGATTCGAACTAGCGTTTTCCTAGGGAAAACCGTCATTAGATCCGACGTGCACGTCGTACGCACACACACGCACACACACACACACATATATATATATATAGAGAGAGAGCGAGAGATGCCTTTATCTATTCTCCGTCCTTCTCTTCATTCTTTCCTCTTTCACGCCTCTTTATTCTTGGTTCCACTCTCTGCAACCCCTTGCATGATAGTGCCATTCCCTGCCTTGCCTGGTGTGATATATATATATATATATATATATATATATATATATATATATATATATATATATATATATAGAGCAAAGCCCGAAGAATGCTTTTGAACAAACGTTTTTCCCGATTCTCGAAATAGAGATACCTGCTCAGTTTCTGAGCCTAACGTAGACAAAGACAATTTTTAGGAACAGATTTTTCTTTTATTATTCCGACATATTTTAATTTCTAGCTTAAACGTTATTTTTCTTGGATACCCATAGTTAGATAGATGCCCAGTTTATTCATTTATTTATCAAACAGTAGATAGAATTAAATAAATATACTGTTTAATAAATAAATAAAAACAGAGCATCTATTCAAATATGGGTATCTATTAAAATAACATCTATCTATCTATCTATCTATCTATCTATCTATCTATCTATCTATCTATCTATATATATATATATATATATATATATATATATATATATATATGTGTGTGTTTACATAAACACTACTTATAATTTCACTGGCGTCTACGACTAAAAGCTTCATGTGTACGTAAAGGTAGTAATGTTAATCTCATACAATCCTCAGACAGTGAAAAATATAATCGTCATGAAAGAATAATCATTCCACAGTTTATATTATTATTATTATTATTATTAATAATGATAGTAATATATATATATATATATATAGGGAGAGAAAGAGAAACAAAAAGATCACGTGGGAGGAAACTAAAGTTAGAAAAATACCTGTTATAGAGTAATGGTTAGGAAGGCAAGCACAAATGCGCTATCGATTTCTCCTAATGAGTCTGGAACTTACAAGATGCTCTAATATGGCTCAGTTTAAATTCAAACTTTTACGGCAAATGATCGACTGTATTTACATTTTTTCTAGAAACTCAATATCGAACCATTGCTACATTTTCCCCAATGGATTAAACCAAATTCTCATCGCAGATACTCTACCGAATTCAAAGCTACACTTTCATTTCGTTTGCCTTTAAGCTATTCCTGTCAAAGCGAACACCGTTAAGATTATTGGAAAGGATAGATCTGATCATTTGCTTTCCTACTAAGAGAAAGCGGAGCCAAAATTCGACACGAATCTTCTGAAAAAAAGTATCATGTCGCTAATCAATTGAATATATACTTCTGGTTTCGTCTATAACTGCGCATGCGTATTCGTCTTCATCCTTAATTAAAGTTTCCTGCAGCTGCAGAACGATGTTCCAATGAATTCTGTTATCTTTTTAGCAGCTGACAATGAATAGCTTCCCTTCTTTAGATAAAACCTTAGTTTCAGGAGAAAATTCTTGAATATTATCGCCTCAACTTTCTTCTGTACAACAATTATTATTATTATTATTATTATTATTATTGTTGTTGTTGTTGTTGTTGTTTTTGTTGTTGTTATTCTTTGGAGTCAATCCCAGTTTTTTTGCTTTTGCAGTCATATAAAATAAGATACACGCCTGTGAAAATTCATTTCGAGGCTATAACATTTGATAACGTATGATGTTTTTTTAAAAAAAAAAATAAAGAAGCAAACTTAACACCAGGAAGAGACAGTTTAGGTTTCTGGGGAACTTGATGAGGAAGAAAGGCTTGGAAAACATGATACTCACAGAACAGATAGTTGGAAAGTGCGACAGAGGAAAGCAGCGCGTAGCATACTTGATGAGATTGAGCAAATGGATATCGGAACAAAGTTTGGGAGAAATTACAAAAAGACAAAACTTATTAAGAGCTACAGGGGTCAGCAGGACCATGATCGCTTACATTCGGAAGGGACAGGGCACAGAGAAAATGTTTGTGTGAAATAAAAAAAAAATTTTTTTCTATATACTTTACATATAGCCTTTTCAGTTTTTTCTTTCAAAACTGACGAGCGAAGTATCTTTTCGATGTTAGGAAAAGAAGAGCATAAATCATTTTCTAGAAATAAAACTCAGAATGTTAATAACTCATGCTAACTGCAAAACAATTTCAATTAAAGTTTAGTGATGTCAACGGACACTCGTTGCCACTTTTGTAATTTCAACGATTACTCGTTGTCAGTTTCGTAATGCTTGTTGTAGTAGAGACTTTGTAATCGCAGCTTTAACTATAGTACACCGTTGAACAATACTGATATCAGACACCTTCGAATAACACTCGCACTAATAGTACTTGCTCGATAATACTCGCTCGAATAGTAGCCACCGAATAGTGATCCGTGTAGTAATCAGTAAAGAGAATAATATAGTAAATAGTATATAGAATAGTGATCCAAATAATAATAGAGGATAGAATAGAAATGGTTTAGGCGTCACGCTACTTCCTACTTAAGTGTTTCCTCCATGGTCACGTGATCGACTTAATTCAATAATGAGATCGCCTGCTTTTGCTCTCTGGCAATCCGTGTTCAAACTCTAGTGTCGGCAGCAACACTTTATTCC